ATCCAGTCTTTGGAGGCCTAGCGGCCCGTCTCATGTTAGTATCCGGAATCAGCACATTCGATTACCTATTGTTCACTAAGTTTTAAGCTAGAAGCGATTTATCACTTGGTGTCCTTTCCTCGTTAGTTTTATGCAGAATACAACATTCAGAAAAAATTTTCTTTTCGTCCAAAAAGAGGTTAGATAGTGATCCAGGTTGAAGCCAGAGATACCACCGGTCAACAAAATCTTGACCGGTACCGGCCGATCACCGGTGATCGGACCGGACCGGCCATTTTTCAAAAAGTTTGACCGGTAAGCGACCGGTATTTTTGCTTTCTGTTCGATATAAACATGCTATTTTCTGTCATATGTCCTAGTTATAAGCCAAGTCAATCTGACCCAGTCCAGCAGTTTGACCGGAACCGGTACAACCGGCTGGTTGATAAGTCTCAACCGGATCGGACCGGGAACGGGCGTCCAGTCATCCGGTCCGGTTGCATCTCTGGTTGAAGCTTTGCAGTAGTTTTCTCATAGCCTTTTATTGTTAAAATAGGAAACAAAATGCTGAACACGTTTTTTCTAGAGAATTTAATGGTGTATCTTTTGAAAAAACTAAGATTGAACAAGGTAACAGAGAAGATTTATGTCAAAAAATAAACGGGAAGAGTTATGGATGCTGCCACGTCCGTTATATTATGATTAATATCATCACAATGTTTTGCTTCTGTTTGAATTTAGAATTTGAATCTGAGTCAGTATCACGGTCAGAAGCATTCATCTGTTTTGTCTGACTTGTTATTTGCCGAATTCAATATATTGTAACATTCCATGTATCTTTTTAGTTATATAATTTTCTTGAATATGACTCTAATCGAAATGTAGAATAAAAGTTCAAATAATTAAATAAAATGACTGCTGTTATCTACTACAAAATACATTTCACTTCATGGTGTTATACGTAATATGAAAGTCTGATAATTCCTTTCATATAATAATAATTCACGTTTGAAAACCCGTTTTCTAATTACTTTCTCTCAAAAACAGATGCTCCAACGGGTGACCCGTAATAAATTGAACTAAATGTTAATGCATTTTTTTTTATCACTTCCTATTTATAAAAAAAGTTTCCTTTATATGCCAAATGATAGAGAATTTAATTTTCTACAAGACTATATGTATATTCACTCGCCTCTTCACGAACTCCGCACACTTTTAATTAATTTCAAAGTGAGATCAAAGAATCTTCAAAGGCGGTGGGTGGGTGGATGAAAGTGTGCGGAGTTTGGGCATGAACCATATTCACTTTTTAGCTTCATCTTTAATGTTTGACACAGTAACTCTAACAAGAAAAGCTCTACATTTTTAATAGATAAATCTCTTTAATAGATAAACTTACAAGTTCACCGATGTTTCTAGCACTGAAAAAGTTTTCTGGCTATTCCAGTTTAAAATTCAACGTTCAAATGATTAATTTATAGACGAAAAAATGCAGAATTTCGCGCTCTATTAGACTGTGTAACGTACAAAATAAAACTACTACTTTTCTACCTGAAAACTAGAAAATACTAGATGTGACTAACGACGTAACATGGATCCAAAAATAGAAAATGACTTTTTTTGAAAGCCTCAGTTTTGCTTGAATTTCATCTTAAAAATCATTATTTCTTATTAGAAAAGAAAACATCATTTTGTAGAGAATTCCTTGCTAAAGTTTTCGGTACACCTTGTTTTATTGAATAAGCGATTTTTAGCGAGGTTTTGAACAAAAAATCAATTTTTTGAAGGTGTACCAGTTACAAAGATTTTCTGTCGATGCACTAGTTCCATGAGGATAATGGTATTTTAAAGTTGAACCTGAAACAGTCACATATAAAGCGTTCCCATTCAGACAAACTCCAATACTCTATAAATTTAAGTTCATGTGAATGTGGACTGTTTCGCCAATTTACTATTCATATATTTAAATGCGCTGCCTTTTTGTGAATGATATGATTATGAATATTGTCCTTCATCCACATTTCTCTATTCAAGGTGTCTTCACTGGAAACCACCACATCTTTGTCTAACTAGATACTGTTTCGGTGATGACGCTGGTCCGTCATTCATTGCTCACTGCAGACGTAGACAATGAATAATCAAGTTGAGATGCTTTTCGTGAATAAAGTACACATGTCACGGCGAAGTCAAACAGATCATGTTTGTCAGCGGGGACATTTCCTGAACTTTTCAATGTAAGCCGACAGAAGAGAACCATATTACAAGCAGATAGCTTGTTGTCGAATTTCATCAAAGGCGATTCAACTGTTAATTAGCTTACTGATGTAGTATATGTAATCCATCTTAGCACAGATGAAGGTTTAACAAGAGGAAAACAGCTAGCTGATTTTGGGACTTTTCCGATTTTCGTCGATTTTCACCGATTTCCTGTGATTTGTTTGGGAAATCAAGTAAAGAGACTGCGATAAATAGTGCAGAACCTGCTTTATTTGTACAAAACAGGAATCAGACATAGTGAAAGTAAAGGAAAAAAAGATAAAATCATAAGCGATTTTTAACGATTTTCGATTTAAATCGATTTTTTAAGCTCAAAAATCAGCTGTTTCTCCCTTGAGGTTCAATAACAAGAACAGCGTTTTTAGACTTCCGTAAGACGTTAGATCGAGTATGGATTAAAGGCTTACTGTATAAGTTGGAGATGAAAGGAGTGAGTGGAGCTCTGTTGAAATGAATTTAAAAGTTATTTGACAGACCACAGATAGTAACTATAGTTAACAGAAAAATATCTGCACCGCTTAGTGTGAATCGTGATGTTCCGTAAGGAAGTGCTCTTGATCTTTTATTGTTCTTAGTTTACGTTGATGATACCCCAGCCAAGCTTCTTTTTGAGTCAACGCGTTAGTTTGGACAGGTAACGCGTTTTTAGTGAACATGAACGCGTTCCGACGCGTTAGTGTACTACAAACGCATCGAAATGCGTTTAATCCAACGCGTTCTGATGCTTTAATTACCAACGCGTTTAGTAGGACCATTATTTGGTAATCTAACGCGTTTTATGCGTTATTTTCTGCTACGTTTTAATTTTTTTTCAAAGTGTATCATAAAAGATGAAGCAAGAAAAGCATTTGACTTTAAAATCTTCTTTTGACATAGAATGACCGAAACAGCACGAATACAAAAAAAAAGAAAATAACAATACGACCTGTATTAGCAGATTTATTCACGTTCAACAGCTAGACGAATGACAGAGTAGAAACATCCTGCCTCAAAAAGTCATTTACATCTGGTGAGTTTCTTAATAAAATACAACTCAGTATCAGAGTTCACCTTTAAACAGAAGGATGAGGTACGGAGTTATCGACCTAACAGACAGACTATTTCATTTCTCGCAAACACATAGTTAGTGCGTTATTTATGTATTCTAGCGTGTGATTTCATTTTACTTATAGTTTAATAAGGAAATAACTTTAAAAGAATTCCAGACAAAAAACTGCGATTATGAGCCGGTACAATTTTTCGGAGAGTTAAAGCAAACTTTTCTGAAAAACTTGAAAAGCTGCCTTTTAAAACTGTTGTTTATGTTTTAATGTCCTTGTGTGACTGGTGAACAACTATATCGTCAGCAAAAAGCCGTATTGTTGACCAGAGCGTGTGTCTCATCCCAGGCAAACTTTTTCTGGCAAAAAAACGCGATGTGCGTTTTTGCCAGAAAAAGTTTGCCACATTGGAACCGGAACTGCGGTTTCTTAGACGGTTCCTGTTTTTCGAAACCGAGACCTTTTGACTTGTCTTTCTTTTAACAAAATGAAAACACACTATTGACAAAATTACAAAAAGATATATTTGCCTGTCATAATTTAAACGAATACTTTCATTTACTATAAAATGAATTCTATTTTGTTAAATTGTTTCTGCCTGAAAAATTAGTTTGGATAGAGTGAATAATTCTACACACTCCTAAGTATTTTTCGAGGTTCCAGACCTCACTTGAAAGTCAGCTGATGGTTCAAAACTGAGAGATGTCAAAAATATCTCTTTAACAAATCATTTGAGTTTTCATTTTCCTTGACGCTTTTAAGTAAAATTAAGAATATATTTGGAATCAGCGTTGAATTCGGATTCTAGTGATGTATTTTTCATCCATTTCTGAGAGGAGAAATTTTTTTTCGATGGTTCCGAGGTCCACCTCAATCTTCAAAAATTTTCGAAAAAATTGAAGGTAGTTTTTTCGAAAAACTGAACCGGTCATTTTGTTCAGTTTTCGACACTGATTACAGCAATGTAGTTTTTGCTCGAAAAGTCTTTGGGATGAAAAATCCACTTATCCAGACTTGTCCTTTTACCGAAAAATGACCCCACTTTGAATCACAGAATAATATAAACATTGTATAATTTATATGAGGATTTAAATAGTGTTGTAAAAACAAAATTTTTTTAATCATTATAAATTTTGATAAATATAATTTTCATTTGACTTTTGATAACAAAGCAACAAAAAAACAAAATATTCGTTAGCACCATAACAATAGATAGTCAAAAACAAACGACCAAAAATAGGATATAATAAAAAGTAAAAATACTGTAAAATGTTAGTTAACAAATAGAAAGAATAGTAAAGATGTACAAATCGTTTATTATGTCGATGTTATTAGATGAATATGTCACTATAGAAAAATAAATTATTAGAAAAAAAAGTAAAAATTTCGTTTCGGATTTATCACTGATTTTATAAACGGTTTTCAATACTTGATTTTAATTTTCGAAATAATACATAACGATCTTTACCAACAACAGAACTCTAAAATAAACAAATTAAAATTCATCATATATAAGAATGAGAGAAGAAATATACATACTGTGTATAAATCAAGTCCGTTCATATCAGATCGAAGATTCGTAACTGGATTACGAAATACAGTACGACATAGAACTGGCATATTAGAAACAAATGCTTCATTCTAAAAATAAACATGAAAATGCGAACGATAATAGTTAAATACGAGAAACAGATAGAAGCAAAGCTTTGCATAGTTATTATTACTTTTCGCAACAAAAAGAGATAAAAGAGAGTCAAATGATTTTAAACAAAAAAGAAAAATGAGAAAGGAGAGTTTAAAACAAATAATATACAAAAGAAAAGGAACACTGATAAAATTGCTCATTTTCTTGTAGTTCTTTAAATAAAATGGCATTTTGAGTAGGGACGACAATCACCGAGACAGAAAGTTCCACTCTCCTGAAGTGTAAGAAAGAAAAGAGAAAGAGTCCAAGTTTGATCGAACTACTCTATCGACGCTAGTTTATCATGGTCCAGACGCTTGCATCGGTGAAAGAACGTTGATGTGATGAGGTACGGGTAGTGCAAATGAAAATTATAGTATTAAGATATATTTTTGTGTTTTAATCTAAAACTTACCTTAGTTAAGACTAAAAGATTGCATCTAACACTGTTAAGAATCTGTTAAAATTTCAATGTTTAGTTTTACGATATTATACATACCATTGGAGGTAAATGCATCCCGAAGCTGAAACTATATTCATTCATATCGTCAATAAATGCTATTAAAAAAATTAAAAAAAAGATATTCATTTTGTTATTAGAACGCGAAATACAAATACCTACCTCGAAATAAGAGATGTATAGCACGATAAAAATGCTTATTTAATTTTTCACCCATGATCATCACTTCTAAATCTTTCAACGGTGTCTAAATACAAAAATATTATTGACGTGAGAAACGATAGCTTTAAAGATTAAAGAGAATGTCTAGTGTATGTATAACAAATAGAAATCGTATCATAGAGAGATAAGAGTAAAGTTACTATCTTTAGCATGATACGATCATACTATTTATTAAGACGTTTCGTCAGTTTTCTACTGATATCATCAGTCAAATGATCGGTTTACGAAGTGAAAAAACAGAGTAGAAAATAGAAACAATGTGAAGAGAGAGCTAATTCTAATTTATGTATGTCAATATACAATACGACATGTATAAAAAACCATTCAAACAAAAAGCTTTTCTGGGAATAAACATGATTTATGACATTGAATGAATCTATCACAAGACTCGCTTATTGTTCATCTTACTGTGCTGGCTTCGATTGCTAAAATATCTGCTGGTCAGTTATTTCTATAGTCTGATTTCAGTCCATGTGTGACTATGCATAAGGATCTCTTGCCATCGAAAGTATATTGGTGCTTCTGTTTCCTAATATTCTCTTCACCACCTGGTAATAGTCATTACACCAGTATACGATATGTTCTTTTCTGTTTTTCGTTTGATTTTCGAAAAGTAAAACGGTGACTTTTACGCTCAATCTCTCTATCTTCACCTCAAACTCATCTAGAAATCGTACTCTTACAACATAGATGTGTCATATTTTATAAGAATTCACCCATTAACCGATAAATCCTTCTGATATTGAATTACTCACTAGATGTACTATAATATGAACGTCTCCCACTGGAATCGTTAATCCTAACATATAGTGTACTTGTAAATAATCACTGAAATAATTTCTATGGGAATGATCTTTTGAATATTGCTTGGCACCTTGTCTTGTTCGTTCAATAACACCATAATATGAATCTTTACCCAAACTAACTTGAATGTGTGTATGTATTTGACTAGCACCCGCTTTTGGCATAGCATCCCATATCATTTCTGGATACATATATTCTCGTTCAAGATCATGAGCTTTTTTAAACCATTTTTTAGATAATTCGAACATATCTTCCAATTCATCTTGTGTCAAATGTAATGTATCATGATTACGACTCACAATCAACGTGTGCCAACGATCATATTTAAACGTGTTTGCAGCAGTGTAAGATAATTTACTTTCTAAACGACCGAATGAGTCTTCAGCTGTTGAACTAAAATGTATATAAGAAAAAAAAGACGATTAGAATTAAATACATAAAACAGAGAACAGCTACTATTCAATGGTCTCTTATATATTAACATGAAGTATCTACATCTTTCGTTGACATACGAAGTCAGCGATTTTAATTAGAAGACGGAAAAAATCTCGCTCATAAAAAAAGAAACTAGTTACTCATCAAACTTTTTTGGAGTACCATCAGCATATTTTATTCATTTGAATAAATACTCAAAAAATCTCTTCGTTTTATGCTTACTTGAGCTAAGCGGTGTTATACAGAATTGATATTTCAGTAAGTTTATCCCTGTGTATCTTTATCAAGAGGGAAATAGCGGACTCCTGGAGTCCAAGAACAGAAGTGTTCTTTTTTTGGGAATCACTCCCCAAAAATGGAGTGACTTGTGTTCTGTTCCGAGAGTCATTCCCATAACCAGAACACTTTTGTTCGGTTTTGGGGAAGAACTCATACCAGTTCACAGCTCATGAACTGGTCGACCAGCTCAATTCATTTGAAGTGAAATGAGCTGTCACGCTCTCAAGGACTCCCGTGGATTCCTTGGACTTCAGGAGTGCGCTATTTCCCCCTTGATCTTTATTCAACTGAGTGGCTATACGTTTTTCTTGCTCGAGTTGATTCGACTGGACTGTGTAAGAGCCTTCAGAGTAACCGTTGTGTAATGTAACTAAATCTGTTGAGATACTGTGTAGAAATCAAATAGTTGATATATAAAGACTTAGTATATCTTATAGAGATATGCTTGTTCACGAAACTACAACTGATCAAGGCATTACTAGAAAAAACAAAACGACAGTTTTCAGAGTAAAAAGAAAAGATTATATTCATAAACAACATACTGAAAAAGAATAAATTGAAATTGAATCGAGAGTTGTAATCATGTTAGATAAACAGCAACAACAAAAAAAAATATATCAACTGTTCAAAAAATAAGTAAAATCTTCTTCAATCTATCTTAATAATAAAAACTATTAAAATTTTATTTACCTTAGATAATTTTTTTCACAAAAATCACACGTTTTCATTGTATCTTTCATCAGTTTCATTGTACTAAATTTAGAGAAAGAGCTATAAGTTGATGATGTATATATAATAAAAATGAGTTTAACAGCATCTTAAAGTAGGAGTTGTCTTACACGTGCAAGATAATATGTATAAATATATATGTAACAAACGTTAATCTATATCAATATTTCTCGTACTAGTTTTCTGGTGATAGTTCACTTGTTGATTGAGGACGTTTGCCACGAATGGAATTATAAATCATTTCTTCATGTGTATAACGATTGTACACTTTCAATATTTTCTATAATAAAAAACATTGTCAAATCGTTAGACAGTGTTTATTTATTTAGAAAAAGATGTGATACTGGTTATATCAGTCACGTTATAAGCCAAAAAAAGAAAATTTACTACACTTGACTGAGTATTTATTTTTCCTTGGCTAAAATTTCTCACTATTTATGAAGTTTATTTATGTAGCTCTTAGTGATGTATGGTGTTCGCTTTTTTCGATCTTGTCTCGTCTCTTTCAAAAAAAAATCTTATTCACATTCTTCGCGATTGTCCTCGCACTCCGTTTATCTAACTCAAATATCTATTATAATCCATAAATGTCAAAAATAGTTCCTACTTGATTTCTAATTTGTGCAATTAATTGTTCATCATTATTTAACCATTGTTTAACTTTTTTCAAATAAACTGGTGATAATTTCAATGCACCATAAATTTCATCCACACGAAATATCGAATTAAACTTATCTTCTAACTGTCTAAAATTATAATAAAAAAAAAGAACTAAACAATTGATTCTTACTTTTGGGATAGTTTAAAGATCTTACCTACATGCTTTGATAGAAAACATTTGTGTTTTTGAAAGATAAGCATACAAATTTTCTAGTAGTAACGGTGTATGAGTAGAAAAACACTGTTGCTCATACCACACCTAAACGAAAAAAGATTCTACAATTACGTTTCTTTCATCAACGTTATACTTTTTATTGTAAGATTATATTTTTCGATTTAAATATTAATCTTTCTATATTTAGAAGTATCTCTTCCATATGCAGGATTAATAATCATGGACTTACAGGCGAATGTTCTGGTAACGTCATTGTGAATGGCATTTCCGTTTGATTGAGTGAATAATTGAAATGTAAATAGACAAATATGACTAATAAAATAATGAAACATAAAAAACATATTGTACGAAAATCACGTTTGAATTGAATGGCCATTAATAAAAAATACAGTCGACAACGATAAATCGATGAATAAATCAAACGATATAACTAGAAAAGAGAAAAATATAGTGATTATTAACACAGTGATCTACGATTAAAGTTCATGAGCAAGAATGAACACAATTGATCTATTTAGGATGTTATGATATAATCACCAATAACCAAATAGTGTTCTTTAAATTAAACATATAATGAAGTTATAAGCAGAAGCATAATGCTGATTATTTTTGTCTTATGTCAGCTCTTATATTTATTATAGTAAGAAATGAGAAATAATTGTTTTTCATCAACATTAATAAAATCATTCCAAAACCTTGAAAGCGTTTTTAATAACAATAAACAATAGCAGCGGCAAAAACATAAATAATAACGAGCAACGTAAAAAAATGAAAATCAAGCAATTAGATATTTTGATCTACTTCTATTCTCAGTCCCCTGTCAGTATTTATCTGTCATCTTTTTTTTCTTTTTCTCTAGAATCAGTTGGACATAATGAAATGTATCGCACATCCCATCACAGCATGTTTTGTCATAGATTTACAATGCAAATCAAATATAAATGTTCTATTGAAGGAATCCAGCTTCACTATCATTTTGTCCAAGTAGAGTCGAGAAACTTCATTCTTTGAAACTCGTGATATAAGCAGGAAACGATCTGACATTGTTTTTCTTTTCGTCGACAAGAGACTGACTTGTTAATCGCATTTTACTTTCACACAAAATTAATAGTTTTTTTTAAGCTAAAATTGAATACGTAGTTTACCGAGCTCATGCTTATTTTTTTCCGTGAGCTCTTTACAATGGTGAATAGAGTTTTATTCTAGAAGACCAATAATAATAAAAGAAATAATCAATCAATATAGATGCATACTGTAAAATATATACCAAATTTTAGTCATTACCTTGAATCATTCATATAATCGTTAGAACGCTTTAAAACAAAACTTTTAATTTAGAAACGGGTAAAGAATTAACAACTACTTTTCAAACTTATCTTTTTAAATAAAGCTCAGCAGCAATAGACACTGAGGTTTACTCGAACTACCCTGGGGGCCGTATCAAAAAACAAACTCAAGTCTGACTTAAGTCAAAATTTGGATTTAGGTCAGGACTTAAGTCTCTGCCACTAACTTAAGTTTTACCGTATTACAAAAAACTTAAGTCAAAGGTTGACTTAAGCCATGGGAAGTGTAATCTTAAAGTTAAGACCGAAAACTTAAGTCGGACTTAAGTCATTGACACATTTTTCGAATAGTGCAGGCAGTTAACGATATTTTAAAATGACATTTTAAGGATTAGAGAATAAATATTTCGTTATTTTGCGGGTTTTTGTCCCAAGTTTGTCATTGTTGTCAAGGACTTTAAAAAGTAAACAAATCGTCAACTTAAGTCTTTTCGTGAGACGGTTTAAGTCCCCGGACTTAAGTCGGTCTTAAACTCAGACTTAAATCTCCGTCACTAACTTAAATCTTTGAACTTAAATTTTACCGTATTATACAAAAACTTAAGTCATGGAAAATGTAGTGTAAGATCGAAAACTTAAGTCAGTCTTAAGTTATTGACGCATTTTTGGAATTACTCAGATATTTAACGATACGATTCGACGAAAACGACTTTCTAAGGTTTAGAGAACAAATATTTGGTTAGTTTGCGAGTGTCTGTCCCAAGTTTGTCACTGTTGTCCATGACTTTCGAAAAGTAACCAATCACCAATTTAAGTCTTTTCGTCTTTTCGTAATACGGTTTAAGTCCCCAGACTTGTTTTTTCGTGATACGTCCCCCAGAAGAATTTTCTTCGCATCCATATCGCTAGTTAGAGATAATATTCTTCTTACATCGTTGATCTGAGATTACAAATACGAAACAAAATGTTCTTTAATAGTATCATATCTGTACAGACAGATATCTTCAGTATATCAGTAGTAGAACAGTTCTAATGATTGATCGATTAAACGAGCGTAAAGTGAGTTTCCATTTTGAAAATTTGATTTTTCTGTTTTTATCAGAAAAATGGGGTGATAAAATCCACTTTTATTTAAAATACTCATTAGAAATACTGCAACAATGAGACAAATATAAAGAAAAAAAAGGTGTCAAGAGTTCTTCATAACTTTGCATTCCACCAGTATGGAATTAAGTAAGGAGTCTCAAATGTATAATACTATCAACCCGAAAACTATACATACCTTATGTTCAAGTTCGCATTGACTGTTATTTTACATGCAGCAGCATTCTTTTCATAATCATGCACAACTTGTATTTCCAGTCTATAATTTTATATTAAGAAGAAGCATATAGCGATTTTTCATCACACTTTAGGCAAAATACCTGATTTATTTACAGATAAGTTAAATAAATATAAATAAATAATTAAAATCGTTGACAACAGGAAATTTGAGAGAGAAAAAAACAATCAACCTATCAACGATTTTGCATCATTTTAACACATTTATACATTGTGCAGCAAGTGTTATAGAGCGTTTTTATGTCCGAAAAAGTAATCAGGTTGAAATAGACTAAGTAAAAAGGCTTAAAAGATAAATTAGAGAGATCATGATTCGCTGCTAAAGACTGATTTGACTCCACTAGCACCTATCGCAAACGTGAGTATTGTCAATCAGTTTTGTTTGTTTTGACTTTTGTTGATTTAATTCTTATTTACTTGACACACACAGAGAAGTAAAGAGCGACCAGTTTTCTTTTAATCAATACAGATAGTTGCAGAATAGAACGAGTTTGCCGATAAATTTCGATTCATCGATAATTTTAGCTTAAATCGCGATTAAGCGCTTTACTTGATTAATCGGCATTTAATGGCAAATTAACGAATGTTGTGATATCTTAAGATTTTTCTAAAACTCGGGAGTTGGCATAGAAAATCTCTGAAACCGTTCATAACCTTTATCATTCTTTTGCGTCGTCTTATGAATGATTGTCGAACTATTGATTTTATACATTGTTTGCTAGCATGGGTGTAAAGTCTAGGCGCCTGATCTAATGGCACTTTATTAAATCTGGTTTTGTTCTAAAAACGTATTTTTTTACAATTTAATTTAGAATAGCAACACTTAATATCTTCAATAAAAGAATGCCTTGGTCTTGTATCCGAAGGAAAGATCATGATCGGTTCGTAAACCGTCTGAGAAAGCATCTATGTTTTAGGAGTGTAGCCAGAAATCTTTCAAAGGGTGGGATGTGGAACGTCAACAGCCTGAAAGGCGACTATAAGTTTTTGACCCAAAACGGGGTATGTATGAGCTCGTAGAGTAAGACTTGCTCTATCTAGTGGTGTATATATTGTCGAATCCTAATATAAAGGTAACCCCTCTTTTTTTAGAATTTTTCGACTTCTTTTTAATTTTTTAGTTAAATGTTGTGCATTATGTAAAGTATTCTCTACAAAATGAGATGTCTCCCTGCTCTCCGCCATGTTTTCTGATATAGTTATTGTCATTTTGCTGTAAGTCTTTGAAAAAGTCACATTTGTGATATAGCATCCAAAATGATCGTAACTCTATCAGCTGACCTCCCACTCCGTCCCTTTTTTTTCTATAAATCCTCTTTTTTCACGAACACAGTACCTATTAACGAACAAATTCGTTATTGTTGGTTCATGTCGTCAAGTATTTTTACTCTTGACTTCTACCAGTCGTTAAGCTCAGGTTCTTCAATCAAGTGAGACCAGAAACTCTTTCGGCATCCTAGATTAAACAAAGTTTCAATCCAATATATGTAGTATATTTAACAATAATGGTAAAAATACATATGCAGGAATAACATGAAGTAGGGAGACCACTTACTAACTCTGTACTCTATATGCACTCGAACTGACTATATCTGAATGTATGCTTTCATATATATATCTAAAAGAACAAAGACATTTAATATAAAAGAAAAAAATAGACAGATAGCTAAAGATGATCCAATCTTTAATATAGAATAATAGTGATCACAACTAGACGAAAAAAAACAATAGATGAACGAAATTTCTATTGTTTTTGTTTGTTTTCTCATTTTGCAGTGCACATATTATGAACGATGCCAAATATATGTGAACAATACTGATTTTCATTTTTCGCTGTTTCGAGTCGCCATTGAACGCAAAACATAGATATGCCACCGCTTCTACACTTGCGAGGATATTTATTTGTTAGCATTTTTCACCCGAAAAAACTGAACTTTTTTTTCTCGTTTTTTGTTAAACTACGGATCCTCTTTTTTTATAAACTGTCGGTGGGATACCAGTCTATCGGAAAATATGGTGTAATACACAATATTTAACTCAAAAATAAAAAAAAGAGCGATTATCTTTAATTTTCTCTGACGGTTATATTAGGATTCGACAATATATACACAATTGGATAGAGCAAGTCTTCCTCTACAAGCTCATATATTATTCCGTTTTGGAGTCAAAAATCATCCTGAAGCTTAGAGTCGCCTTTCGTTTCCTTCACAAAATATTTTGTCTTCGAAATCTTTCATACAAGACGAATCCAATCTTCCTTATCCCTTTCCTTCCTAGACTATACTCCTACTCTTCTGCATTTTTTACAGTAGTTTTGCTTTTGCAATTGCCAACATTTTGTAACATGCAAGCTAGGAAATCATTTTTCTTTTATTTTATCTAAATATGCTTATTTATGCTTGACATTATTTATTTTTATTTTCCTATTAAAGTTCCGTCTTTTAATTCTGGTAGTAGTATGTAATCAAGTTTTGACAAGGACATAGTAAAATATCTTGGAACAATTTTTTCAAAAGATTCGATAGAATTTTTGTAAGTTTTTACAAGATTTTTTAACATTTTACAAGAAAACATGAGATCTTGTATTTATATGGGAGTGTCTTAATTCATAATAATTATTTTTTTAGCAAAATATCTCCAAGTGGAAAAAGTATATGTAATGAAAATGAAGTCTATTTAAAGACCATGATTGTTTCACAGCCGAATATAACCAACACCTAAGGCTTTTCACTAAGACTATCAAAGAAAAGAGTTTTCAAAAATGATGCTCTCTCTCTCTGTCTCTTTGCTTAAGAATGTTTGACAAATGATTTGTTTAATCGTTTCTACTGATTCTAGTAGGATAAAAAGATTATTTTGTATTAGAAAATGATCATCTTTTTCTTCATTGTGAGAAGAACGTGGTTTATCACTTGATTTCATTGTTTGTTTTAAGAAATTAAAGAAAAATGTTTAATATAAGATTACATGATTATGGCAGAAAGCTAATTCTCTTTTTCTGTTTTACCTCAATTAATGATTTATTCCACATTGAAAGAAAAAGCATACCTCACGTTCTATTTGCTTATACGTTTATATAATTTTTTTTCTTCTATACATGTGTTCCAAGTAGAACTAGTTTATTTATAATTAATCTTTTCTTTTTCTATGCTTACAATAAATTCTCTTTCCGCGATGCCTCTATCTAATTTTTGATGCTCTCGCATTTTTGCTACCATAACTTTTGATAATGGTATTATATTTTGTCATTAAACACGTTGATCATAGAGAAGAACTATGTTTAAAACTATTTTCAGAAATTGTTGCAATAAAAAGAAAGATATCATTTTGACATCATCCTGTTCAGCACAATTAGCAACAGATTCACAAACAGCAGTAATGGAACATGACGAAAATAATATTAGTATGTAAACATTTTTTTTTCTTTTTTCGAATATCGAAGACTAATAAATTCAGACGAGCATAATTATATTCCACTTTATATATGTTGAATGAATGAATAAATTTACGAAAAGTGAAACCTTAACTGTAAAATAAGTCTGTTTGCTGATGATGTTTTCTTAGTTGTTCTTCTAAATCTGCACGACTTTTTCCATATTCAAACTTTTATAAATTTGTTGATCTTCTAATAAACTTATGTCTTTGAGTACTCTAAGCTTTTTTATTTCTTTTTCGATCTCTTCTCACTTGTTTATAACCAATTGTATCTATTCCTCTTTCTGTTGACGCACACAGATGAGCATCTTTGAATTTCATTCATCATTCTATTCTCCCAAAAGTTCACTACTACCATGTCATTTATTATAGTTCGTAACTTCTCTTTCTATTCTCGATTCTGTAAACAAACTTGCTATTCGTGTTATTTCTGAATATTTTGACTATTGTATTCCTATTTCTTCTTTCGCTTCACACTTATCCCTTCTAAATCTTTTTCTCAATTTGTATACATCATCACTCATCTTTCTACGTTTTATTTGGTTCAACGTTCTCATCATTCTTCGTTACACTGCCATTATTTTTGTATTTCTTTTCGTGTCAACGGTTTCTCTTTTCAAGCGGTACATTCTTTTTCTTTCATTTGATTCAGAAACATCGAGTGGAATAATCTTTCTGAACCGATCATCTGTTGTTTGTCTCTATTATCTTCCAAAAACGTTCTTTTCTAATGTTAATAGTTAATTTTACACCAATATTTCTACCTTGTCTATTTATTCTCTAGTTTTATATCATTTGTCTTTCTTTCTTTCCCAGTTAGCATCTTGTTTTCTTTCATCTACTTCTTGATCTGTTTATTTATTTGATAGAGGGCATCCCTTTATAAATCGTGAACTTTGAGTTGATCTCTCAAGTTACATGAATAAGTTCATTCATTTATATTGAGTCAATTTGCACATCAGTTTTATTTTATCTAAAGTTAAGAGAAAAATAGAATGATTAACCCTGATCCGACCATATGCCCAAATTCTACCCGGTTTCATTTGGATTTTGTCTGAATACAAAGGTTGGATTTTACCGCTTTAATTTATATTCTACTAAATGACAATAGGATGTACTATCAATATGAACTCATTGCATTCACTCATTATTTATCTGGCAGAGCAGCAAGACATATCTTTAAAGCACTCGTTTTCGTCTCGGATCCGCACGGATCCCAGATGGACAGATCGGAGTTCATAATGGTCAATATCTGATTTTATATTTTGTTATCTGTTAAATGTTGTCATTATTTTTGTTTTTAACTAATTATTTTCGTGAAACTATTTTGCAATCGGAGTCTCTCTTGAATACTAAAAAGTGAACTGAGAATTAGAAGTGTAAATTTATTTACGATTGATTGAAATTTTTTAGATTTAAAAAACACCCTGAAATCATTAGAGTTGATGATTCTTTCATCATATAGTCGTGAATTTTTATTAACGCATACATTTACGTGGGCATAGAGAAAGGGGATGCTAATTGTCCGTTAAAATTAGTCATAGAGAGAAAAGAACTTGTCATTCTCTTTTTCTGTGTGTGTTTGGCATTGATAAAATAAATAAGAACGCAAAAGAGAACAAGAAAGAAAAGGTCATCTTATGCGTGTATTTATATCCTTTTATGGTATTGCGTGACGATTAAACGTGTGCTTTGTATCAGACATTCAGTTCAAACTATTTAGTTTCATATTATTTTATCTCTTATTATTATTTTTTTTTTAACAGAAATGGCTTCAAGTGGTGTTCTTGAACGTTTAGAAAATGTAACTAGTCGTTTGGAAAGTGTTGCTAATAAATTTAATTTGGGTGCCATTGGCAATAGTAATTCTCCAGCTGGTGATAACGCCGGATCTCATCTTGACAATTTACCAATTATTCAAGATTATTCATCGTTGATTGATGGTTCATTAAAACAATGTTTACAGTTGTCAACAAGTTTGGGTGGTGATCTAAAAGAGTTAAATAATCATATATCAAAATTATTTGATTTACAACGAATATTTATTCTATATGCCATACAATGTAAAAAACCTACAAATGAACAACAATTTGCCGAAGCAATTAAACCAATGTTAAATGAAATACAAGCCATACAATGTAAATTTCTTGATATCTATTATTTTTATTATAAATTAATTATTTTTTTTCTATTTTTTAGCTTATCGTGAAAAACATCGTCAATCACCATTATTTAATCATTTATCGGCTATATCTGAATCAATACCGGCTCTTGGATGGATCACTGTTTCACCTGCACCATATCCATTTATTAAAGAAATGGCCGATGCTGGTCAATTTTATACAAATCGTGTTTTAAAAGAGTTTAAAGATAAAGATGAAACACATGTCAATTGGGTTAAATTATGGCTAAAACTTTTACAAGAATTACAACAATATGTTAAACAATATCATACAACAGGTTTAGCATGGGCAACACATGGACAACAAGAATTTAATGCACAACAAGCAACAAGGTAAATTTCTCATAGAAGAAAATAGCAGTAAATTTTATTTTATATTGTTTTTCTTCTTGTTAATAGTCAAACGTCTAGTGG